CGCGTACGAGTATTATTAAATGTTATAACAATTCGATGCGTCTGCCCATTTCGATTGGGCATAAACGGTTTAAGGTCTCAACTCTGGCTGCATACAGCACGGCCATAAACTTTAGGCCAGTTGCCGGGCGGTCCAGGCCTTTTGATATATTCATGCATCCCTCAGCCCTCGTATGCCAAGGGATAGCCATATCTGTGCGTGTGTTTAGGCCAAGCTCAATTTAATTTATCAAAGTCATAAACTTTCCATGGGCTAAGCCACAGAATGCCTCATAAATGCTGGGGATTCTCACAGTCTCAGGTTGTAGGTTGTTTATATACTACAGAATTGTGTGTTGGCAGAAACTCTATTTTTAAAGGCTTCCTCCTGGTCTCAAAGGGTTTGAAATAAATGTATAAAAATATTTATATAAATTGCAAATTCCATCCTGAAGTGGATTATGTTTGATGGGCAAGCTTTATTTCTGGCAGGCCAAAATGTTCTCTGAACCAGAATAAATATCTAAATCCACTCCCACTTCATTTCATTGGAAAATACTCCACAGGATCGCTCCCGTGCGAAATGCATACCGAGTGCAACACTGTGTTTGCATTTGACCACCTTTTACCCACCACCACCCATTCAGTGGGAGTTTTCGTTGGTGGTCAAAATCTGTGAAAATGCTTCTAGTGCCGGCAATTCCATTACCAACCGTTTGATGTCCAGCCAGCCCTCCTCTGTCTCTCTCCTCAATTAGAGAGCCACTAACGACTCCTTTTAGTCTGGACACACACACATACACAGAGAGATACGAGCACACAAACACACGCACGGGGAAAAACTTTCACAAACAGCCGCTGGGCTGGGCAGGGCTGGGCAGGCAAGCGGAGGAGGAAACAAAAATCGAATTTGATGTCGCTCTGTCAAACACAAGCCGAGAATCTGTTTATATATCGCTCAGCGACAGGTCCTGTTCCTGGATCCCGGGGTTGCTACCCCGCCTCCCTAATACGGTTAGTCCATCGACTACAAGCCGTGGTCTCCTAAAGTTTATGCCATTTAAGCATAAGTTGCTTAGCCCAACGTGCCTGGAGATGGGTACGAGCGAAGAACGGCACCCGACTCTCCAGACATGACCGCAAACTGTCGAACGAACACGCATAAAATGCGCCAGTAATATTATTTTCATTCTGGCTATGCGAATATCATTTTAGAAGGTATGTCGACTTGGACCAAACGTTCGAGAATGTCAGATCTGAAAGGGTGAAAGATTGGATTGTTCTTGGATCTGCTAGGGTATCTATGGCTTCGGTCTTGCCAAAAGGTAGCGGCTCTCATGGCGGTGGTGGTGTGTGTGCCTATAATTTATGCAACGCCGCATTTTCATGGCTCATCCACGCACACATACGTACATACTCGTACATACATGTAAACATCTCATCGAGTGGCAAAATGAAGCCGCCTGCCGGAAATCAACAAAAATTTATTGAGCATAAATTTGAATCCTCCCGATGCCCTCTACCTGCACCCCCTCATTGACTGTGCCGCTTTGTTGCTCTGTTTCCTCTGGTTTTGTTTATGAAAGCGTTTTATAGGATTTTAAATTGATTTTATTCTCATTCGTACTCTCATTTATTTGGCTCTGATTTCCTTCCAGCTTCCGTTTTGGGCCCAGTCTTGTGAGTCTTTCCAAATTACAGTTGGCATACAAATGAAGACATGAAATGTCCGGGCAGGGCATGGCGACAGCTGTTGCTGAGTGTGGGACCCCCAGATGATTGATGGGCAAGATGATGGGTGGAAGCTCTCAGGTATAAGGATGCTCCTCTCCCTCTGCCCAGTCCATACTCCCACTCCACAGTCTCGATGCTCGGCTTTCAATGGGAATTCAATGAAATGTTTTATTATTAACAAAGACATGAATGCCCTCTCCGCTCCGCAGTCTCCTAATCGATTCCCCTCATTTCTTTGTCTAGTTTTCCACGGTCCCTCTTTATTTGTTGTTTGGACACTGTCGCTTTCAGTTGGGCCGCTTGTGCTACAAACAATTGGTCGCGATAATATCTAATCATTACTTATCATTATTGGCCATGTCGCCTCCCCCTGGAGCACCCTCCTCCGATGTCCATTTTCCTGTTCGTGTGGGTAATGGACATTCCTCGGGTGTCTGCCTTGATTTCCAGTCTGTCGTCCTGTATCTGTCAGACAATTCACTTGGCTGCCCTCCCCCAACCCAACCCATCGCGACGATTACCGAGCAAATTAAATTAGTAGAAATGCCGAAACGAGGCTAAGGAGACACGGTAAGGCAATCTAATTGAGGTTGTGGGTGGTTGGTGTGCGTGTCTCAGCCTCTGAGTCTCTGTGTGTGGGACATATGTTAAACCCGTTAAAATGCTACCAGGTGTCGACTGTCAATTGGCCCCTGGGGCACCAGCACCTCGAGTTGCAGTCCCAGTCCCACCAACGCAATCGCCTTAAAGAGTCTAATGAGGTTTAATGGCCAGAGGCCATTTGGCTAGTCGCCGTAGTTGAACACGAAATGTCAAAAGGGTTTAACAAAAGAGCACACACATAGGTCAAAGGTACAGCGAGATAATAATGCGGGGACAGTATGACAGGAAAGGCTACTATGAAATTACCCATTTATTTTGAAACCATTCCGCGCTTAACAACTATCTACTTTAATTCGGTAAAATGCACAAATAATCCGTATTAAATCTGAAAACAGCTCAGGAATGCTATGTTTACATAGGTTCTACGGGAAAGAGTCAGACACATTGGAACGTAAATGAAACCCACAATTTCACATGACTTGCACACCCAAAGCGGGTCGAAATCCCTGCTATGTGAGAGCTTTTTCATTCAAAAAGCTTCAATTAGAAGAGAAATATAAGAACGAGGATATAAGAGTAGGTAAATAATACAATTCAAACTCAAATTCAAATGAAAACCAAAGACAGGTATGTATAAACGAGTTTAAAGCGACAAACCTCCAACTATGCCTTCTCGGATGCCATCCCCATATCCTTGAACTGCTAGCGTGGCAGACCCCGACAGAGACCTCGTACACGGAATCGATCAAACGCTGACTTTGGCATGGCACCCACCTGGCAGGGAGCCGAAACCAATGCAACGCGAATTAAAGCAGGTCAGCAAACTGGCAGCGAACCAACCTATGAGTGAAGGAATTTACCCGTAGGTTAGAGTCGAAACAACCTCAGTATGAGCGCCAACAAAATATTCCTGCGCTACTATCCGCCAGGTGGGAAAGGTCATCGGGCCGAATCCTTAATAAATATTTGATTGTTTCTTTCAGGTCTGGCCATTAATTACCGCACGGCAAAGGGCAGCGAGCGAGTGCGTCACTTTGATCTGCTTGACCTAGATTCGAAGTGAGTACTTCTACTTTGAACACTGCACCTAAATTCACGAATTCTTCTTTATTCTTGGAATAGGACCGACATTGAGCCTCTGGCTGACAAGATCCTACTCCATTCACTGGCTGAAGCGGAGGAGGAGCCATCGGAAGAGGATGAGGACAAGACAACGCCCTGTGTGCCCGCTAGTGGCCATGTGACCAGTTCCCAGAACACATTCAGCGCCCTAAAGCAGGCTCTGGACAAGCTACAGCGTAAGCTGCGGGAGCCCGTCAAGAAGAAGTTCTATTTGCACAAGTGTCACACCTCGCACATCCTGCCGCTGACCAATGTGTGCTTCGACCGCACCGGAGAACGATGCCTCACCGGCAGCTACGACCGCACCTGCCACGTCATCAACACCCAAACGACAGAAGTGGAGCACACTCTCACCGGACACGACAATGTGGTCTTCTCCGTTGGCTTCAATACGCCGAGATGGTAGGTATAGCTTCCACAACGATCTCCTCTCATCTGCAATTTCCATTTTCAATGTCTTTCAGCGACAAGATCGTGACCGGCTCCTTTGATTGCACCGCCAAAGTTTGGTCCGCCAGCAGCGGGCAGTGCCTTTGCACCTTGTTTGGTCACACCGCCGAGCTGGTGGCGACTGAGTTCCATCCGCTGCATGGCCAGGCCATTGCCACCGCCTCCATGGATGGCACCGCACGCATCTATGATGTGGAAACGGCCCATGAGCTTCAGCAGCTTTCCCACCACGGTGCCGAGGTAATAGCCGCTCGCTACAATCGCGATGGGCAGATGCTGCTTACGGGCTCCTTTGACCACACGGCCGCCATCTGGGATACACGCACCAAAAGGTGAGTGCCAGGAATCTGTTGTGCTGCCAATTGTGCTAAGGAGCAACTCCTTCAACAGCTGCTGCCATCAACTGCGGGGCCACAGAGCTGAGCTCTCGAACTGTGTGTGGAGCTTTAGCGGATCGCTGATCGCCACGGGCTCCTTGGATCACACGGCTCGGCTGTGGGATATTCGCCGGATGGATCAGGAGCTGCACCTGGTCTCCAAGCACAACGACGAGGTGTTGGACGTGGCCTTCGATGCGGCGGGCAGACTGCTGGCCACCTGCAGCAGCGACTGCACGGCGAGGGTCTGGAGCCTGGGCGGCGCTTCTGAGCAGCTGGAGATGTTGTCGCTGATGGCGGGGCACAGTGACGAGGTGTCTAAGGTATGCTTCAGCCCCAGCGGATGCATGCTGCTAACCGCCTCCGCTGACAACACTGCTCGTCTGTGGCTGACCGAGTCCGGGCACTGTTCCCAGGTGCTGGCCGGGCACGAGGCAGAGGTCTTCAGCTGCGCCTACAGCTATGCTGGCGACGCAATTCTGACGGCCTCCAAGGACAACACCTGCCGCTTCTGGAGATGATACGACTGGTACACCGTGCAGCTAAACGAAGAGTAGAGAGAGAGAGAGATCGGCGTGGATTTTTCTTGTATCAACATTTACTACAAACTCGAGCGTAATTTTGCTTTTCTCTCTAAAGGTTTCATCATCAACTGGCTTATAAATTAATAGTTCTTAGCTTTTCTCGTTTCTTTCAGATCGGACATTATTGTGGACTTTCTTTGCTCTTTTTTTTGTTGTAATTTTTCTTAATCGTTTCTTTTGTTTACCTTAAGGTTTAGGCTTTACTTTTCGCATTTCCATATATAGATAGTTACAGGTTTGTTTGCTAGTTTGGTTTTTCCATTTTTTTTGTTTTCTTTAGTTTAACATTTTTACTTTACATTATTAAGTGTTCGCAATAGGCTGGCGACTTCTTTTTCCATATACATATATAAAAGTGAACAAAAAGTGTTTTCGGTAACAAACATTTTACAACTTACAAAAGTCCGCAGGGTTTCGGAATCCATATTAATTAATACATAGTTTTTGAAAAATTAAACGTTCTTTCTTGTACACAAATATTTTTCTCGGCGAGGAGCGGGCTCTCTCTCAATGTTATCCCTCCTCAAAATGATTTCATTCCCTCGCTCTATATGTAAGTTCTAATTCGCGTTATTCTCTTAGAAGTTTCTCTTCTCGTTTACGACTAAACTGAAGGAGCTCAGAGGCGGGCACAGTAGACAGTTTGTTTGATGATTGCTTTTGGTTGAATGAGAAGTGACGGAAAGATAGATCACACAGACACAAACACAGACACAGAGGTTGAAACACTCACATAGAGTTGGCCGTGGTCTATGCTTGGGGCCAATCATTTAGACAGATGTGTCTCCCTGGTAGGTTATTAAGTGTCGGTTTAGTGGTTGAGGAGGATCCTTATATATCCTTATTGTGTGGTTGTTGTGTGGTGCTGTTACTGGCTTTGAGCCATCCGCTGCATCTTATTCAATTTTTCAGTTATCGGAGTACTCTTCTAAAACACATCTACATATGTATATTATGGGCTCGGTATCTGCGTGGGTGTGTGGCTGTGGTACTGTTGAGTGTGGAGGGGGCGGACAGGACAGACAGGCCTTCTCATATAAACTATAAATGTATCGTAATGCTTATTATTATCATTATTAGTAGGTTTTTCTTTAGCGTTTATCAAAGTAGAAAACTGTTTGGTGTGTGTTTTGTTTGTTTCGCATCGTTTCGTTTATGTTGTGTGTGGGTGTGTGTAGTTTGGGTTTGCTGTGGCATTTAAAGATCTTTCTGTTCAGGTTGCTGCGTTTGTTTAACTGGTTTCTATTTAATGTTTTGTCTGCAACTCAATGCGTAGGGCTCTGCAAGAAACACAAAATCACGATTATTAACACTGATGGCGGGAAGTGTGGGGACTTAGAAGGAAACACGGCGGGTTCAGCCAGATTACATGAGGTTGAGGATTAAAGTAGGGTACAGATGCAGGGAACATGCAAAGCGTACATGCGAGCAGCTTTTAAATCTCGATACGAAAAGAAATGAGTAAAAGCCAGACGGGTTGTGAGACAGGATGAGGGACAGGAGACAGGTGTGGCATAGGAGGACAACAGCATTTGCCTTACATTTAGAATACATGAAGCTGAGGAAGGAAGTGTTTAGTTATCGTTTGTTCACTTGTTGCTTGGTTGATTGTTTGATTGATTATTGTTGGTTTTGAAATGAACAATATTAGGTATTACAAAACTCATATATCTTCAAATGCATACAGCTAGAAATAAAAGAAAGAAAATACATAGGTAAACATAGCTTTCGGTCGGTTGAATGGTTGAATGCTAAAATTGAGCTTCTTCCCCTCCCGAATAATTACATGCAAACGTGTACGAATGGGTAATGTGCAATGTGCACTAACGGGTGGAATCAACAATGGGTATGGGTATGGGTGTGGGTGTGTCGACTGCCGTTGTGAGTGATATATATATCCAGTAAGTTAAGGCCTCTGCTGATGGTGCTACCACCGAACGATCTACCGACTTATAAGTACATAAGCCAATCAAAAATAATATTGATGATGATGATAAGCGATAACAAAACTTGTGTTAGCAGTGGCAAAAGCGCGGCAAGCGGAGGTTATAGATTATAAAAGAGATTGCGTACTTCACATGGTCGATCCGGAAACTCTTGTTTGAATGTGCGCTCGATAACGTGATATCTGCAATGGGATTCACAAAACAATTTTCAGTTATTTGGATTTATTTTTGGGACATGATCAGCGGCACTCACTTGGACTGCAAACCGCCGCCGGGTGGAAGACCTTCAATGTCGTCTTTGTTCTGCATACACTTCAGCAGATCCAGGTAATCGGTTATCTTGTTAGACTCTATCTCGTCTGCAACAAATCAGAGAATACAAACTGTTCAATGGACGTCGTTCATAGGGTTCAATTCAAGATCTTAGCTTACGAGATTTTGTATAAATAAATGTGGATGTATGTACAAAAATGGTTCATAATAAAATACGATCGAATTACATATTGAAGCTACATTAAAGCAAATGCAATATACATATATGTTTCGAAACTTTTTTTGTTTTTTAAACTATGAACTAAAACGCAAAGTGTATGGCTGTATTAACAGCTTTGGAAATGAGGTAACAAACCAAATGGCAAAGAGGTCAAACAACAGAACATTATATCATCCTGGCAAAGAGTTTCTAATCTATTAAGGAAAGTGGGATTGGATTGGGGAAGACCTAATTCCAATTATAAATATTTTTCATTCGCTTAACAAACTGTGGGGACCAGTAATTATTAGAGCTGATAGAAAATTTGATTGTAAAACAACGAATGACTACTCTCTTTCCAAGAAAATTATTTGGATATGCGGAAAATAAACATGGAAAGTAATTAAAATTGGAATTAGTTTCTTTCGTCGCCTGGTGAGCATGCAATTTCAGTCTGTCGTTAGATGGTGTGGGGAGATCTCTTTAGAAAGCTTAATACACAGACAACTCATTAGAGACGACTGGGGCTGGATCTAGACAGGGTTTGGGTGTGGGGTGTGGATTGGGCTGGACTGGAGGCATGTGGTACGCAAAATAAAATTAAACCAATCATCAATCAATCGATAAGATAAACGAGATAACGAAATGACAAAAATTGCTTTCGATATTTACAAACTACAAAATTATAGACGTACCTTATGCTCACACATCTTAAAATTTGTAATGCTTTCTGTTTCTTGTTCTTGCATTGTCTTTAACACGCCCATTTGGCTTATGCGCCTGCCTTTTTTTCTGGCAAACATTTCAATTCAAATATTTGTGATTTGCAGTACGATGCGCGAAGAACAACAACCATGAAACAACAGAATAACGCGCGAAGCAAAAATGTTCTCTTTGGTAAATTACTTTAAAGAATTTCTTGGTCATTCGTTGGAGCTGGCTCTTGAAAAAAATAATTCTCATGTGGAAAATAAATTGGTTACAAATGAGACATTCTGAATTGGTGTGTAACAATAGAAAACTGTAATCTGAAGAAAGGCAAATGAAGGCAAAAGGCATTAACTGTTTCGCTGTTTGGAGTTCTGTCTGGTGTTGTGTGTTCGAGAAAATGTAAATGGAAAATAAAAGCTGAAACTAGCGAATGCAGTGAACTGAAAACTGAATCCGATGGAAGAGCAGACAAACACTTTTTGTTTGGTTTTCGAATCGTTCATTAAACATATATATTTTTTGCTTAGCCATGGAGATATTTGGTTGCATCTTTGGTGATTTATTAATCTATTGAGTATGTTTGTTTGGATGTGAGAGTGTCGGTTGTCACGTGTTATGTGGCCGAGGCCTTACACCTACATATATTTCCCTGGACAATGGTCGCAGAGTTATTGCTCTAGTACATGGTACAGTCACAAGTTGATCTCTGGGTTAGCTTCGATCGATCCAATTGGTAAATCATTGGTAAAGTAAAGTAAACTCTTGCTTTCGATTACCACGAGCACAACAATTGGTGAGCATAAGGTTTACAGTTTCAATTTTGTTTTGCTTTTGCTTTTCATTAAAACCTACTTTTGTGTATAACGTTCAAAACCTTCCTAGACTACTGGACTACTTTAGGCTACGTTAGTAATGGTAGTTTGTCTGGACATTCGAGTATTTCATTATCTTTGGTTATATGTATAACTATATACTATACAACTATATAAACTTGTAATTATTTATCTACTTTGACCAATGATGGGGCGTGGCATGCTATTAAATATTTACTATATTCTATGTGTAAATTATATTGTATACAATTGGTTTAAAGTATTTGTCTATGTATATCAACAGCAAGGTCACGTCTACACACTTCGGCCTCAGGGACATTATGCCGAAATTCACTTGGGTGTTACGAATACTGTCTGTCGCTAGACTATTAGAGATCTAAATATATCTATCCTATTATGGCTGGTTCTTCATTGTGGGAGATAATACTACAACTTAATCGATTCTGCCTGGCTTTTTGGCATTCCGTACTCTCTCAAATCTCTGAGCGGTTAATTATGTAGTAAAAATATGTTTGTATGTTTTACGGCAGTACCAGGTTGTCGTCAATAGTTTTTAAAAAGGCTTTCCCAGCTCATTTTAAAAAATACCTACTGCTTGTAGGGCCACCGAGGGGTCTCCTTTGAACTCGTTTTGCTTAGAAACTAAGTGTTAATTTGCTAGGCCTACTAGTTACATCAATTCCAAGTGTTTTTTATTTATTTTGAGTGTCTTCAATACCTGGGGTCGTTTGAGATTGCAATTTACTTTTGATTGATTTGCATCGGGGCTTGTGTCATCAGTGGGTATCGGGTTTATATGCATGTGTGAATGTACATATGTATATACAAAGGTATATGCAGACGGGTCAATTAACTACTTAACATTGGGCTCAGGTTCATCGATAATTGTTATTAATATCTATGGTCGGTCTATGGGGTTTTACGATTATGTAATGCTACAACTAAATGGCAGATGGCAGTTGCTGTAGCAGACAAACACGTGTATAAATAATACTATATAGCTGGCACTCACACACCCACAAATATACATTCATTCGGGTCAGCCGCACGCACTGCCAGCAGATATGACAAACCAACACGCTATACGGTTATTTACTATGCATTAGCGATAGGATATAGGTAAAATACACACACTCGGTCATTTACATAACTATATACAAATATATATATAAGAATGGCATTGGTAATGGCAATGTTTTGGTTAGGTTGGGTTTCGAACTACTTGGAAGGAACTTTTCATTGGAGTCGAGTGGCGTTTGCATTCTCAGATATGCAGAAGCATGACTACCTAAGGATCAGGGTAGATGTATCTAATATAACGCTAGATAAGCTTCTTGGGGCGGGACATTTTGGGACATATCGTTTATCGTATTTTCCCTGTTTTAAGAGTATGTGCTTGTTACTTTTAAGGTACAATGTATACGTATTTCGTCTGACCGCGCGCGTCAATAGAGTATTCGATTCAGTGGGAGAGAGAGAGAGAGAGAGAGACACACACAATAACTACAACGCCATAGATCAAGAGTTAACGATTAGTTATAAACAGAGTAGACGACTTAGACAACCTCTTGTGATTTTCTCGATTTGTTTCTCCAGCCGATGCTCAGCCTCTATCGCCTCCTCTGTTGGCTTCGGTGCTCCAGGGAAGGCAATTATAATGATGCTCATGTTATCGCGACTTCCCTGTGATTGCAAAAAAAAAAGATTTGGTATCAGAGAGAGCGACAATATATACCATCCGAATGGTATGTAGAGCACTACATACCTTGTGCAAGCAAGTGTCCACCACCTGATTGGCAATGCTCACTAGATCGCTGGTCACCTTGAGCCTCGAGTGGATGAAGCTGCACACATCCTCGTTGGTCATCACATCCCAGATGCCGTCGCAGGCGAGCACCAAGAACTCGTCGGTGTCCTGGCGGCTTTGGCAAAATATTTCCGGCTCGGGTGAGACCAGCTGCTCGCACTGCCCTTTCTCCTTGACGTTTTTGAAGTCGTAGTCGCCAAGGGCTCTGGACACGGCTAGGGTGCCGTTTACGCGTTTGATCATCACACTGCCGCCGGCATTGTGTATGCGCTCCTTCTCCTCCGGCAGGACGGGCTTGTGGTCCTGCGTGGCAAACACCGGCACCCCCTGGCGACACAGCACGGCGCGCGAGTCCCCACAGTTGGCGATATACACCTGAGTCGAGCTGACAAAGGCGCACACGGCGGTGGTTCCGCCGCACTTGGTATCCTTGGTAAACTCGGGCAGGTCGCGCATCACCTCGTCGATGCGCAGGAAGCCAGTGCGTATGCCCTTCACATGGTCACCGCTTATGAACTCGTCCGTGTGGACAATGCTGTCCAGCAGATGCTTGGCACAGTGCTCAGACACCTTGCAGCCGGCGTGCCCGTCGAACACCGCGAAGAAGCTCCAGTCGTTTAGGGCATTGTCCAGCCCCACGCGTGCATAGTAGGCATCCTCCATTTCACAACGCCAGCCTTGCATTGAACTGACGCCGAAGAGCAGCTTGTTGCCCTCACCTTGATCATTGTGTTTGGCGGTTTTCGGCTTATCCAGGAATCCGCCCATTTCTACTGAACATACTGTTTGTGTGCTGACTGTGGGAGGAATTGGCTGTGGGTCTGCTCTCTTCTGTTGCCAAGAGATCCTGCAAGTGAAGGAGCACCAATTTATATTAGTGGAATCTCAATCAATACTAACCTATGCATGCATGTTCAGGTCTGCCTTGAACTTGAACTCATTGCGCGCAACAAACATTTCCCTCACCCTGGTCCCCAGGCTTCCCCCCTGCCGTTACGTGTGAAACTTTTGGCTATATTCGTTACTTTTGTGCTTCCGGTTTGCCAATCGATTTATCAAGGACGCGTGGTCGGTCGGTCCCTTTCTCTTCGTAGACGACCGATGGCTAATTTTAGCCGAAATAAAGCTGCCATTGCGCCGGCACGCCCACATGCCTACACGCCCGTATCGAGAGCTGGCCTCAGCGTAGGCGTAAACTGCAGGTTTGGCTCGAATTGTTTATTTTTTTGTCGCGCAATTTCTGCGCGCAACAGCATCCACAGGAACTGTCCCCTCCGCGTTCGTTTTTTAACAAATAACTCGCTCAGTTAGCAGCACATTTTTTCACAAGTGAGAGAGAGGGGAATGGAAAATAGCTGCCGGTTCTGGGGATTTGGTCACGAACTAGTCATGAAAAAACACAATTGGGCACGAGATCTATGAACTTTTCGGAGCTGAGAAAAGGCAAACCTTCACTCGCATTATTTTTCACCTCGCAAATTTACAGTTGATGGTCTTCCTCGTCGCTTGCCCGCCTTGCCGCCAATCCACCAACGTCGTTGTCTCCTCGTTCGTTGCTTTTTCTTCTTCTTGATGGTTGTGCTTGTGTGTATGTGCTGCTGCTGCTTCTCCTCAAGCGGGGTGCGTGTGTGTGTGTGACTGACTATCTGTATTGGCGTGTGTAAGCAAAAATTAAGAACCAAAAATGTCTTCTGCTTTCGTTTTGCACATCACCGAAACCGCGTTGATTCGATGGTCGGACACGCGGGGCGCTGATTAAAACTTTCGGAAGTACTTTCCGTGCAGTGACGAAACGAAAATAAAACTTTTTCTAATATTTTGATTTTTTTTTTTATGGTCGCACGACGATGATTTCGTACTAGAGTTGGGATAAAAATCGATAGTGCTATCGATAATATCGATGCTTGAAAATGTAGCCGATAGTAGCAAAAGAGTGAACATGTTGAAAAAAAAATTTATTTATTTTGTTGATTAATTCATCGCCGGGATGATTGGATTTTGAATTAAAAGATTTATATTGTTAGGGTACAATTTCTATTTCTGGTGTTCGTTCGACAAACAACTCTTTTTTGAGCGCAAAATTTTCAGTAACATTTTGTTCCAATATTCATCAATGCGGATTAATCGTCTGCGACCAACCAATTTCGCTGTACCGATTAAATACAATAAAAAAACGTTTTAGCAGATATGAGAAACTATCGATGGTGGCCACCATCGATGTTTTCCCAACTCTAGTTTCCATTATAACTATCGATAAAATATTCAAGAAATACCTTCTTATTTTAAAATTATACAGTAAATATACCGTAATCTTTAATCATATTCCTTGATTTTGATGTTCTATTTTATATTACTTATAACTTAAGACTTTTAACACTCAAACAATAATTATATCCGGTTGAAGAATCAATTTGGCTTATTTTAAACATTTCACAGGTAAAAACGTCACAAAAAAATCCAGGTGTGCAAAGATTGGAACGACTAGAGTTAGAGTGTAGACCAATAACAGAACATGACGAAACATTCGATCGTGTTCTTTTCTCTTTTCAATGGTGTCCAAGTCCCTGGCAGAGTAAATGTATTGTCCGTTGTTATTTGTAAAGTAGTGAACGAAAGAACATATTTATTACAGTTGTACACATTTTTTCGAGAATCTGTTAATAATAAAATAAAGAAATTATTGATGCGTGTCATCGATTGCCTTGTCCCTATTCATACATAGGCTCATCGCACTTCTGACATTTCCACGCTGCTCTTATTTTTATGCCCGGTACTCGAAGAGTAAATAGGGTATATTTAATTTGTGCACAAAGTATGTAACACACAGAAGGAAACGTTTCCGACCCCATAAAGTATATATATTCTTGATCAGCATCAATATCCGAGTCGATTGAGCCATGTCTGTCTGTCCGTCCTGATGAGCGAATTGTACTCAAAGACTATAAGAGCAAGAGCCACCAAATTTTTCATTCATACTTGTGTATGCTCACACTGTTACAAGTGTATTTCAAAAATGAGCCACGCCCCTTCCGCCTCTGCAAAAGGGCGAAAACCTTCCCAACCTACAATTTTGAAGATAAAAAAAAACTAAAAACGCTATTCCGTAGGGAATGACCATATCTATCAGATCACCATCCGATTGGGATCCGATTGGATCATTATTATAGCCATAATGAAGAAATCAATTTGCAGTGGCTAAACCCACCCTGTCCAGGTGGGTGTTGTTTTTTGTTGTTTTTTTTTCACTTTCTCTTTCACACTCAGCTTCGTGTAGACAGTGGCCTCTGCCTCTGCCGCGAGTCTGCAGTGTGTGGGTGTGAGAAGTGTTGTAGATGTACATAGATGACATACAGAAGACAAAATTTAAAATTTGACAAAACACCGCTAAGCTGCAGATGTAGTACCGAGTGCCAGGTATAAAGTTGTGTCGCGTAAGAAGCGTCTCACACTTCCCTTCTCGTTATTAGTCTCAAACATGGCTCAAGATAAAAATCTTCGATGGTTTATTTTTTCTGCACATTCTTTTATTATATATATCAACCTCGTATCAGAGAAATATTACAGAAGTAATTGAAAAGTTGTGAGGTGAGTTCTGGCTCTTTTTTATGAAGCTATCGCCAACACTTCTTCAATTGGACACAGTGGTGGTGGGTTGGGACCAGTTACCGTCCTCCAAGCAGGCATTCAACTCCTCAAAGCTGGCGGCAGAGTCCTCCTTGTATACCCTCTCGGCCGTAGTTTGGCAGAAATCGAGATCGAAGTCAATGAGAGCAAGCTCTCCGATGAGCTGTTTGTTGAGGTCGGTCGCGTTATTGCCGATGGTATTCAGAATAACAGAATACTCGGGAGCCTAAACGAATCGAAGGGGTAGGTGTTAGATTACATTATGGGTTCCGGGGACACTTCACTTACGGTCTTGGAATAGCACTCGAAGACCTCTGAGTTTTCCTCCTCATGTGAGCAACGCTCCAGAGCGTCGCAGGTCTCCTTAGCCTTGGAGGTGATTCCATTGCGGGCGATGCCATAATTGCTGTCGATCAGCCATTTGGCGGCATTGAACTTTTCGACGCAGACCTTGTAATCTTCCTCGTACTGGTCAGAGTGTCCCTTCAGGATGGGCAGGTACCAGTCGAAGCAGTTCATGTTGAGGGTGGTGGCCGTTCGCAGACTCTGCGCATTCATCATGAAGTCGATGAGGCTAGCTGATGGAGCGATCCCGGAGTCGAAGTTTTGAAGAACATTTTGACGCGAACAGCTTGGTAAATGAAGTGTGACTAGAAATGAGAAAAGTTTGCCTTTTATACAATCAAATTGATTTGCTTACGGCAATTTCTAATCGCCCTATTATCGGGTGTACTTTTTGTTGCCATATTTATTAATATTTTTATACATATGTACGAATAGAAGTAGTGCTCTTATCAAATCCACGCCGCGTTCTTCCCTCCACAGGTAGTCGTCAAAAGTTTCGGAAGAAAGCAAGCATAATTCCTGAAATTACGTCATCCACCAATACATTTTGTAAGTAATTTTTTATTAACCTACTATCCTGCGGAAGGTAGACTAATTTAGGAACTTATACTGCCGGTTATACAAACAAATTTGCCGCATTCTTCAGAATACAACAGTCATAAAATGTTTAGGCAAAAACATCCGTTATTGGTGGAACATCAATATGAACATCGATTCTAATACATAAAACTACCCGAAACCATTTTTCCGCATCGAACCAAACCTATTTTTATACCTGGTACTCGAAGAGTAAACCGGGTATACTGTAAATCTGCACAAGAGTGGATGTATGTACATATGTAACACACAGAATAGTGTTACCATCAAGTAAATATATTATTGATCAGCATCAATGGAAGAGTCGATATAGCCGTGTCTGTCTGTTCGTCTTGTTTGTCGACTAGTTCTCAGAAACTATGTCTTTGCAAAAATATGGATTTTGGAGCGGTAATTTTTACAAAATGTTGACTTCTAATTCGACTAAGGAAAAAAAATCATAATTAAAAAAAAAAAGGTAGAGCCATCAGTTCATCAGAAAAGGTCGGTTTGGTTGGCAGCGTTTGTTAAAAGAGAAATTTTGTCGGGTAGTGTAATTTGTGGCTTCAACATTTGAACCCGCAACGGCTTTTGTCTCTATTGTCGCCCTCTGTCCGCAAGGAGTTAAACAATGATTAAACCTATTGGTTTGAATATTGCAACCGATGCGATAGTTTATTCCGCTTGGGATAAGCGCCATTTATCGGTAAAAAATTTGTGTACCAATTTTGTCCATCAGCATTTAATTGTACATTTTTAATGAATATATTTGTACAAATGCATGCAAATACACCACACGGAGCCTCCTTAGTATTCCGACAGATGGCCCTAACCGGACCAAGGAAACTATCGCATCGGTTACAATGGAACAGTAGCAAAATAAAATGCAACCGGATAGGTATTATCGGGTTGTTCATAAAGTGGTCCTTGTCGACGGAGGGCGAAGGCTCCAAAATCCGTTCTGAGCTCAAAAATTGAGTTCATTTTGATAGCTCCACCAACATTTTTTGACCGTTGTTTCCGCAAGAAGGCGGAAATCTTTTATACTCCAATATCAATTAATTTCTTCGTTTCCGACGGATAGTGAATAAATATAGATAAATTGAATTTTAAAATATTTTGGTAGATTGACGTGATTTCACAACTACGCTTGCATTTTGCCGAAACAGAAAAATTAGCAGAATAATTAATTGCCGTTCCGGCAGCGATGCTCTTCTGAACAATGATCGATGCGTGACATCGATCGCCCTGCCCCTATTTATACATAGGCTCATCGCACATCAGGTTCTGGCATTATTTTTATTAATAGGCTCAAAAATTAATGTTGTCTTCGAACGTGTTTATTATTTCTGCACATTCTTGTATTATAAATAAACTTCTTCAAACTTCAAAGTTTATCTTAACGACTTAAATATTCAATGTTCATTTAGGAACATTGCAAACGGATGTTCAATTAGAGGAATATTACAGAAGTAATTGTAAACCTGTGAGGTGAGTTCTGGCTCTTTTTTATGAAGCTATCGCCAACACTTCTTCAATTGGACACAGTGGTGGTGGGTTGGGACCAGTTACCGTCCTCCAAGCAGGCATTCAACTCCTCAAAGCTGGCGGCAGAGTCCTCCTTGTATACCCTCTCGGCCGTAGTTTGGCAGAAATCGAGATCGAAGTCAATGAGAGCTAGCTCTCCGATGAGCTGTTTGTTGAGGTCAGTCGCGTTATTGCCGATGGTATTCAGAATAACAGAATACTCGGGAGCCTAAACGAATCAAAGGGGAAAGGGTTAGATTACACTACGGTATTCCGGGGACTCTTCACTTACGGTCTTGGAATAGCACTCGAAGGCCTTTGTGTTTTCCTTCTCGTACTCGCAACGCATCAGGGCGTCGCAGGTCTCCTTGGCATTTGAGGTGATTCCATTACGGGCGATGCCATAATTGCTGTCGATCAGCCATTTGGCGGCATTGAACTTTTCGACGCAGACCTTGTAATNGCCCGTATTTATATAGAGGCCCATCGCACATCCGACTTCTGCCATTATCTTTTAATTACACGCTGCGCTTGTTTTTCTTATTAGTTTAAACAATCAAACTTATGTCTTAATGTTATCTTCGAAAAAGTTTACTTTTTGTGCACATTCCTGTTTTATAGAAAAACTTCACCAACCTTCCAGGTTTATCTTAACGATTTTAAATATTCAATGTTCATTTAGGAAGCAAAAAGATTTTCAATTAGAGGAATATTACAGAAGTAATTGTAAAGCTGTGAGGTGAGTTCTGGCTTTTTTTTATGAAGCTATCGCCAACACTTCTTCAATTGGACACAGTGGTGGTGGGTTGGGACCAGTTACCGTCCTCCAAGCAGGCATTCAACTCCTCAAAGCTGGCGGCAGAGTCCTCCTTGTATACCCTCTCGGCCGTAGTTTGGCAGAAATCGAGATCGAAGTCAATGAGAGCTAGCTCTCCGATGAGCTGTTTGTTGAGGTCAGTCGCGTTATTGCCGATGGTATTCAGAATAACAGAATACTCGGGAGCCTAAACGAATCAAAGGGGAAAGGGTTAGATTACACTACGGTATTCCGGGGACTCTTCACTTACGGTCTTGGAATAGCACTCGAAGGCCTTTGTGTTTTCCTTCTCGTACTCGCAACGCATCAGGGCGTCGCAGGTCTCCTTGGCATTTGAGGTGATTCCATTACGGGCGATGCCATAATTGCTGTCGATCAGCCATTTGGCGGCATTGAACTTTTCGACGCAGACCTTGTAATCTTCCTCGTACTGGTCAGAGTGTCCCTTCAGGATGGGCAGGTACCAGTCGAAGCAGTTCATGTTGAGGGTGGTTGCCGTTCGCAGACTCTGCGCATTCATCATGAAGTCGATGAGGCTAGCTGATGGAGCGATCCCGGAGCTGGGCGCTGCGGCGGCCAAGGCGACGAGGGCCAGCAGGAGAGTCGAAGTTTTGAAGAACATTTTGACGCGAACAGCTTGGTAAATGAAGTGTGACTAGAAATGAGAAAAGTTTGCCTTTTATACAATCAAATTGATTTGCTTCCGGCAATTTCTAATCGCCCTATTATCGGGTGTACTTTTTGTTGCCATATTTATTAATATTTTTATACATATGTACGAATAGAAGTAGCGCTCTTATCAAAGCCACACCGCGTTCTTTCCCACACAGGCAGTCGTAAAAAGTTTCGGCAGAAAGCAAGCGTACTACTGGAATTAAGTTAAATGTATCAAATATTTATTAGTCTGCTATCAGGTGGAAAATTGTTATCAGCGAGTTCCGCTTATTCCGGACACAACGGTTATAAAATGATTTGGTAAAAACATGCGTAATTTCTGCCACCTTCAATATGAAAATAATTGTCTAATAAAGTATAGTAAATAATTGATTTATTCATGTTTTGAATTCGAAACGTTTTTTGATGCTATTACCGCCATCTCTCGACAAGAAGCCACACTAAGAGCATCCTGATAATATCTATAGGTTTGAATTTAAATTTGCAACTGCTTCAGTGCAGCCGATACGATAGTTTGTCAGGATAGGGCTGACTGCCGTCTATCGGAATACCAAGAAGGCTCCATGTACACCAATTTCGTGCCTCACCATCTGTTGAATTTGTATAATGTACAAATTATGCTGAGGGTCGAAATTTGTACATCAAAGCTCCTAATTAAGAGTAGCACCGATAGAGGGCGCTTCGGCCAAGACGAGCAAACTACCGCATCTGGAACATGTGACCATTGTGTGACCCCTTGTGGACAGAGGGCGACAATAGAGATAAAAGCCGTTGCGGGTTCAAATGTTGAAGCCACAAATTACACTACCCGACAAAATTTCACTTTTAACAAACGCTGCCAACCAAACCGACTTTTTCTGATGAACTGATGGCTCTACCTTTTTTTTTTTTAATTATGATTTTTTTCCTTAGTCGAATTAGAAGTCAACATTTTGTAAAAATTACCGCTCAAAAATCCATATTTTTGCAATGACATAGTTTCTGAGAACTAGTCGACAAACAAGACGAACAGACAGACACGGCTATATCGACTCTTCCATTGATGCTGATCAATAATATATTTACTTGATGGTAACACTATTCTGTGTGTTACATATGTACATACATACATCCACTCTTGTGCAGATTTACAGTATACCCGGTTTACTCTTCGAGTACCAGGTATAAAAATAGGTTTGGTTCGATGCGGAAAAATGGTTTCGGGTAGTTTTATGTATTAGAATCGATGTTCATATTGATGTTCCACCAATAACGGATGTTTTTGCCTAAACATTTTATGACTGTTGTATTCTGAAGAGTGCGGCAAATTTGTTTGTATAACCGGCAGTATAAGTTCCTAAATTTGTCTACCTTCCGCAGGATAGTAGGTTAATAAAAAATTACTTACAAAATGTATTGGTGGATGACGTAATTTCAGGAATTATGCTTGCTTTCTTCCGAAACTTTTGACGACTACCTGTGGGGGGAAGAACGCGGCGTGGATTACTTATATTCGTACATATGTATACAAATATTAATAAATATGGCAACAAAAAGTACACCCGATAATAGGGCGATTAGAAATTGCCGGAAGCAAATCAATTTGATTGTATAAAAGGCAAACTTTTCTCATTTCTAGTCACACTTCATTTACCAAGCTGTTCGCGTCAAAATGTTCTTCAAAACTTCGACTCTCCTGCTGGCCCTCGTCGCCTTGGCCGCCGCAGCGCCCATCTCCGGGATCGCTCCATCAGCTAGCCTCATCGACTTCATGATGCATGCGCAGAGTCTGCGAACGGCCACCACCCTCAACATGAACTGCTTCGACTGGTACCTGCCCATCCTGAAGGGACACTCTGACCAGTACGAGGAAGATTACAAGGTCTGCGTCGAAAAGTTCAATGCCGCCAAATGGCTGATCGACAGCAATTATGGCATCGCCCGTAATGGAATCACCTCAAATGCCAAGGAGACCTGCGACGCCCTGATGCGTTGCGAGTACGAGAAGGAAAACACAAAGGCCTTCGAGTGCTATTCCAAGACCGTAAGTGAAGAGTCCCCGGAATACCGTAGTGTAATCTAACCCTTTCCCCTTTGATTCGTTTAGGCTCCCGAGTATTCTGTTATTCTGAATACCATCGGCAATAACGCGACTGACCTCAACAAACAGCTCATCGGAGAGCTAGCTCTCATTGACTTCGATCTCGATTTCTGCCAAACTACGGCCGAGAGGGTATACAAGGAGGACTCTGCCGCCAGCTTTGAGGAGTTGAATGCCTGCTTGGAGGACGGTAACTGGTCCCAACCCACCACCACTGTGTCCAATTGAAGAAGTGTTGGCGATAGCTTCATAAAAAAGAGCCAGAACTCACCTCACAGGTTTACAATTACTTCTGTAATATTCCTCTAATTGAACATCCGTTTGCAATGTTCCTAAATGAACATTGAATATTTAAGTCGTTAAGATAAACTTTGAAGTTTGAAGAAGTTTATTTATAATACAAGAATGTGCAGAAATAATAAACACGTTCGAAGACAACATTAATTTTTGAGCCTATTAATAAAAATAATGCCAGAACCTGATGTGCGATGAGCCTATGTATAAATAGGGGCAGGGCGATCGATGTCACGCATCGATCATTGTTCAGAAGAGCATCGCTGCCGGAACGGCAATTAATTATTCTGCTAATTTTTCTGTTTCGGCAAAATGCAAGCGTAGTTGTGAAATCACGTCAATCTACCAAAATATTTTAAAATTCAATTTATCTATATTTNGGATCGCTCCATCAGCTAGCCTCATCGACTTCATGATGAATGCGCAGAGTCTGCGAACGGCAACCACCCTCAACATGAACTGCTTCGACTGGTACCTGCCCATCCTGAAGGGACACTCTGACCAGTACGAGGAAGATTACAAGGTCTGCGTCGAAAAGTTCAATGCCGCCAAATGGCTGATCGACAGCAATTATGGCATCGCCCGTAATGGAATCACCTCAAATGCCAAGGAGACCTGCGACGCCCTGATGCGTTGCGAGTACGAGAAGGAAAACACAAAGGCCTTCGAGTGCTATTCCAAGACCGTAAGTGAAGAGTCCCCGGAATACCGTAGTGTAATCTAACCCTTTCCCCTTTGATTCGTTTAGGCTCCCGAGTATTCTGTTATTCTGAATACCATCGGCAATAACGCGACTGACCTCAACAAACAGCTCATCGGAGAGCTAGCTCTCATTGACTTCGATCTCGATTTCTGCCAAACTACGGCCGAGAGGGTATACAAGGAGGACTCTGCCGCCAGCTTTGAGGAGTTGAATGCCTGCTTGGAGGACGGTAACTGGTCCCAACCCACCACCACTGTGTCCAATTGAAGAAGTGTTGGCGATAGCTTCATAAAAAAAAGCCAGAACTCACCTCACAGCTTTACAATTACTTCTGTAATATTCCTCTAATTGAAAATCTTTTTGCTTCCTAAATGAACATTGAATATTTAAAATCGTTAAGATAAACCTGGAAGGTTGGTGAAGTTTTTCTATAAAACAGGAATGTGCACAAAAAGTAAACTTTTTCGAAGATAACATTAAGACATAAGTTTGATTGTTTAAACTAATAAGAAAAACAAGCGCAGCGTGTAATTAAAAGATAATGGCAGAAGTCGGATGTGCGATGGGCCTCTATATAAATACGGGCAGGGCGTTCGATGTCAGGCTAGTTTTGTTCCAAACATGTATCAGAAGTCATACCCGATCGTGGTGCTCTCGCTATGCCTGAGCGTTGTCCTGGCCGGCCGCCTGCAAGCGCCACCCCACAAGCCGCAGGCCCACATCCAGGAGCTGAAGGCGGAGAGCCAGGACCTGGCCAGTGCACATAGCCTGGGGTCGAACCTTTGCTTCAGCATCTACCGTCCCGTCATGGATAACATTAACGCCGCATACGAAACCGATTTCGAGGCCTGCATCAACAGCTATGAAAACGCGAGCCTCGCCGTCGACGCCAAGTACACTTCTGCTTTCGAGGAGATCGTGAATAATGCCGAGAGGTCGTGCAGAAACCTGCATGCGTGTCAATATTGGTCATATTCGAAAATGCCCCTCGAGGATGTGTTGTCAGGACTCGATTGCGCCACCACTGTGGTACGTACTTGGCAATTGTGCACCATAGAAATATTCGTTTACAGGCTCCGATTCCTTTCAGGCTGGCGATGATGCCAAGATCTTTTACAATATTTCGAACACTGCCACGGAGCTCGGTGCTAAGATTCAGGCGGACTATCTCTCCATCGAGAGTAGGAAGGACTTGTGCGTGAACGATGCCGAGAGGACATATGTGGAGGGCACAACGAGCATCTATGAGCAGTTGAATGCTTGCTTAAGGGGCGATACTGTACCAACCCCATTCCCGGCCACACCAATACCACCAGATACATTACAAACGAGTTTTAGTAATATTAAGGCTCAGTCCTAAGATATATTTGTAAATTCAATAAATAAAAACCTCGAGCAAATATAATTTCTAGTTCAAATATTTAATATTTCATTCTTGATGGAGATTTCATTCTCTAGAGACCGTTAAGACTTTTTTGGTGCGGTTTTAATATGATTTCGCTAAAAAGCAGATCACACGAAAACGTCGAAGGACGATACATTTCAACTGCCAGGGCTTTAAATTCATTGAAATCAAAATGGGCCACAGTGTGCAGCTCCTTGAAATTTTAAAATAATTTAAAATAAAACTAAATTCTTTCTACAAACCTAAAGTGGCGCATTTGAAGCGTTATACGAAAAATGAAATGAGAATAGGAAATTTCTGGTTCACAATTTGAAGAGTTTTAGACACGACGTTAGTTCGTCCTTAAAATGTTTTATATTTGTGATGTGATCAAGCTGTTAAGTATGGATTGGAATATAGTTTATGGATCTCTCCGTCAAACTACATTAAAAATCCTTACAATTTGTTTGATTTATTGAAAATGCAGAGCCACTGTAGGAGCCCGATCTGAGAAGATGGTAGGACAACTGTCGGAACGGTAGACCAATTACATAAGATGGTGCAAAATCAACAAAGACACTTATTATAGCTTGATGAGCTATTAGTTCTGTAGAATTCTGTATGTACAAAATCACCCGAGACACGATTTTGTCCGTTTGTACGCAGGGCTAAGATAGAATCCTCGAGCTAGAACATCTTATTTAATTGGAAGTGTTTGCAGAAGTTGGCCGGAAGGATTGATAACAACAATTAATTAAGATACAATACTATCTTCTAGACTCGACATTTCCCCCGACAAGACACAATTAAAGCAGATAAAGATTATGTTCTCCCTCGATAGCTATAAAAGCCACCAGCACTTATCCATTTCTATCCAATTGGGAGTTCGACTAGTGAGACCTCGCAATGCTTTTCAAATACGCCCTGTTGATGGCCATGCTCGTCCTGGGCCTGGCGCTGGGTTCTTTACCGAAGCTCAAGCGTCCAACGACTCCGAAGATTCATAGCTTGGAGCAACAGTCAGAGCTTCTTTCCGTCCAGAATCCCTCGAGGACGCAAATTTGTTTTGGCTACTATGGACCCAAGCTAAATACAGTTTCCAGCAAATACGAGTTTGATTATTTGGCGTGCACCGACTCCTTCGAGAAGTCTAGCCAGGCGATATACTGCAACTGGAACAGTACGCTCTATGGACTAGCAAGCCAAGCAGACTATGGATGCAATACCTTCGCCGACTGCTCTACAATTGTTGATTATGTGGAGGCCTTTGAGTGCTTCGCCAGATGGGTAAGTGGACGATGTCAGTTGCGTTTTATCGAGAAGAAGTCACATTTTGGGTGTCTCTCGGTGTCTCTCTCTCTCTCTCTCTCTCTGGATGTTTTGCAGGGGGCCCAAGAGTCCAAGACGATGTATGCAATTTCGGCAAACGCCACAGAATCGGCTGCCACCATTCAGATGCAACTACAGACGAAGGAGAACCAGCTGGCTATATGTGTGAATGAAGCTGACAGATACTTCGTGGAGGATACAACCGCCATGTATGAGGAATTGAACGCCTGCCTCAATGGTCTCCCAGTGGGCTATACTACATCTGCACCCACAACTATTATAGATTATCAAACGACAGGATTTTAGTGTAACCAACTTGAAGAGTAACAAATAAATCAGAAGGAATATTATTCCCATATCAATTTCCATAGCCGTTCTCCCCTTGGACCACCCGAAACCGAAACTATCCAACTAATTTCTTTTATGTCAACATTTTACGACAAAGTTGTTCCCACAGCCAGGTCAAGATGAACTGACCGATATCGTGAATCGGGATCAATGGCTCAATGGTCCCTGTGCGTGTACGTGTGCACATCCTTATCCTCTGGCACTGCCACGCCCAGCAACGTGTGGCAGGTACATGCGGAAATCAGTTCGAGTCGGAGCCAAGAGTCAGTTTGCCTTTGAAAAGTTGCCGACATTCTTTCTTGACGGGTTCCCAAATTTTGCGCTTAATTAATTGTGAAATATGGGCTGTAAAATCAATTGACAATTGCGATTTTTGCCTTTGCTCACAATTGAGTTGTAATCGTAAGCCGCGTTGGCCAGCTCAACTTATGCAAGTGGAGTCGTGGCCAAGTAGGCGTCAAACTGTTGCTCTTGTTGTGGCTGGTGAGGCTGTTGCTGTTGCTGTTGTTGTTGTTGTTGTTGTTGTTGGTGGTGGAAAGGATCGTCGAACTCTGGAACGGGGCTGCGTTCATTTGCCGGCCGATACGACGACTACGTCGATGGAACTACTCGTACAATTGCCAGTCATGTCTTCATAAATTTTATTGAATTGAACCGCCTGCCGCCTGGCGGGGCCTGGACGTGGACGGGCCCAGACCTGGGCAGACGGGGCAGGCATTCAGTCTTCAACATGCGCCAAAAACATACAAAACGGCTCCGCGTTTGAGCGGAGACGGAGTCGCAGGAGGATGAAGGCTTGGGGGTCGCCTGAACTGGGCTGGCCAACGAGCGGGGGAGGAGGAGGAGTGCCAGTTCCAGTGCCAGTGCCAGTGCCTAGAGTCGGCCTTTGGGGGCTTGCGTCTATTCCGACCATTTCATCTTTCGCCGACGGCGTATGGCTCATGTTGTACGTAGCCTTAAATTGAATCGTTACAAATTTTGTTGCTCGTTATAGCAAGCGTTTTATTGCTCAACCAGTTTCGGCTCAATCGCCAATGCAAAGCAGACGCAGGCATCGTCATCGACATCGCCATCGGGACCAGAGATCGGGCCCAGAGCCAAAACCAATCCGGAGATTATGATCGCTAAATGGTACAGAGTCCCAGTTACAGAACCTCGCCCTCACCCTTGCCCTCATTCGGATCTGATCTACAGCAGAGGCCTCCGCAAACGGTAGTCTCTCGGGTACGCCCAGGTTGCTGGCAGCGTTTAATAACTTCATTAAATGCCCTTTGATATTTATGCCAGACACACTTATTTATGTCCCGAACTCTCTCTTATCGCCGGACAGATCGGCAGGACAGGTAGCCGGACGGTAGGCCGGGGGAACTCTATAAATTACATAATCATCTGATAAATGAAACTGTTTACAAGCCAAGGCTCGAGGCCGAGACCAGCACGCCCACAGTAGCCACCACGGAGACGAGGAATAGGTCGCACGGCAGCGGCGCTCGACAGCGGTGATCGACAATTCCTAGTCGGTTGTCCTCACGATTAGTCTCTTTTCTGATGTTTTATTTAGTTATATTTTGATGGTGTTCGGTTTTTAAAAAAACAGCCCCGAGTCAGAGCTAATTGCTCTAATTTCCAGCTAAGCAGACGCGATCCTGACATTCCTCTTGGGTCGCTGTATCCGTATCTGTCGCTCGGCATGCCATAAATATCGACTCTTGATCGGATCAGCGATCAGCGCAGCTTGCGCTGGCCGATGCTTATCAAACAGGGCCTGAGCCCTGTCCTGGGATCCGAATTTGTCTCCGACTTTTTGTTTTATTTTGTTTTACTCCTTTTTTTTTGTCTTTTGGCTGTCGTCGGGTCTTTTTGCAAACAATGGTCTGTGGCCGGCATTTGAATTTGACTTGGCCAAGCTCCAGCTTCAGCGACAAAGATTTATTACGCCCAATGCCCTACAATCTTAAGGGGCCATTGCACTGGCTCTCCTTATCGCGGACAGTTCTCAGCCACTCAACTATGGGGAGCACGTGGCAACGCGAACTCGAGCACTACTTGAGGCCTGTAATCAGAACTTTGATAATACAAACGACTCATAATTGATCAGCTAATTGGGGCTGGTGTTGAACTGAAATCGGTAGCATGAAATGTGCACTTTTTAATCTGCTAAAAGAGTTTCTTTTTATATATTCTAGAGCCAGATATATATTCTTAATTAAGATATTCTTAATTCTAGTAAATTACTGTGCGAATGAATATGGGAATATTAATTCAAGAGCATTTAGTCTTCGTCTTGATTGAGATTTGTTTTGAAGTTTGAACTGCCGCTGTGATTTTTGCGTATTTTTTCCCCCAATAAGAACATAAGAAAATAAACCGAAAAGTGATCGATATGCGGCAACCATCCGACAGAACTTCGTTATCGTTCACATTGTTGCTGGCTGTGTGGAGCAGAGCACAGCACAAAATTATTATGTATCTCGAAGCGATTAACAGACGCATTTCAATTTTATTGCGCCAGATCATTATCGGAGCGCAGATTGAATGAACCCTTTTTTCCCTGTTGTTTCTGCCGCTGAGGCTGAAAACTGTTCGACAACAAATCATTAGATCATGGTCATGATCTTAACAAAATGGTAATAATAAAAACGAAACACACACAAAAAGACAGCAACAGAAACCGAAACCAAAACCGTCAAGAAAAGCCAGCCAGGCGAATTTGGCATCAAAGACAAGCCGAAATTAACATCAAGGCGCGAAGAGAAACTTTCGTTTCCTTTCCAGCTCGGGTCTGTCCCCTGATTTCACCTAGTGCCACACTTTGGCCAATGCCAATGGCCAAAGGAGAACACCATCCACATGATCATTGGGATGATCATCTTCAGCTAAGCTGAGACGTGCCATTGCGGGTGGCTTTGCTGATTAGACAACAAGTGTCTAGGCGGTCTTTTCAAAAGCCAAATCCACTAATGAGATGGCCAAATGCACAGAAAAAGAGCCAACAAAGCCCCATTCAGAAGGTGTGAAAATCGATTGTAACACCAACTGAGGCCTGAGGCAGAGTCAGAGGCGGAGGCCCAGTGAGCAAATAAATTAATCAAAAGGAAATCGGCGTTAAAAGCAAATGAGTTACCCACCGTTGACGGCTAATTCACATATGATTTATTTTATAAATTAGGCATCCGGCAGCAGAGACAGAGGCAGTGCCGCAGCAGCCACAACAGCAGAGATCAAAGATGGAACGCAGATCGGGAATCGCACTTAGCTCCATTCGGTTGTCAAATAATCGCTGGCTTTTTGATCCCACCGCCTCTGAGCTGAGCTCCTCTTTGGTGAGCGTTCACCTGCGACAAAGCACTTCGGAAGCGGCTTCTGTGGCCAAAAACCCAAAACGAAACGGTTTAATTTGTTTGTGCAGCGGCAGCGTTTGGTAATGAAACGCTAAGTGGCCAACAGTTGTTTAACCAAGGGCCAAAACTGTTTACTTTTGCCGGATTCGCCTGACAAATTGTTTGACTCTGACTCTGACTCTGACTTCGACTCCGGCTCGAAAATTGGCTGGCAAAAGGGTTCTTGGGTTGAGAAGTCCTCTCCTTCCATTCAAATCTCCCATCGCTGTTCAGCATTTATCAATTTAAGAACACAACTTTATCGCTTAATCCCCGACTTTTCCAATTATGGCACTAAGAATATGTTTTCCCCCCCCAACAGCCCTATAAGCTTCTGGGGGCACTGTTTGCTTTGAAATTGATTTACTCCAGAGGAGGGTTAACCACCCGTAGCCAGAAAAAAGGCAGCCAGCCAGCCAGCAGCAAACGCCCGACCTCTGTTTATCCCATTCGTGCCACCCCTCAACGCGCAGCTCTATGATATATGTAATTTTGATAACGAGAGCATTTAACCCAGTGAGGAGAGGCCAGGGCATCCCCAGATTCTCCCATCATTTGCCCGCCTAACGACCGCCAGTCCCACTCCACTCTCATTCCCATTCCCATTCCCATTCTCAATCCCTTTACCAACGAGCAAATCCCAAGAACCCACAAACCACCCCCACGCACAGGAAAGTCTCCGTGCCATGTCTGGTGGTGGTGGGTGCCAGTGCCACCACATCATCCTGTTGAACTCCCTCTCCGTCTGTCGACGCATATTAATCCAATTATCATGCACTGTGCACAAAATCACTTAATCGTTTCGAAATGCGGAAGGCCACACCAGAACGAGGAGGCATTGGGGCTGGGGCTGGGGCTGGTCCATGGCCGTGGGTTCCATTGGTTACACCGAAATGATTACACTTACACCATAGTTCCAGCGGTTCCTGCATAGTATTGCATTTAGTCACTGCTATGCTGATTATGATTGATGGCGACCGACTGCATAGAAGGAAGTACAATAGTGGGAAACGTCGTCTCTGTGACAGCTTCTAAATTGTTTCTAAATGCAATCATATCCAGATTAGAAATAGCGTTAGGACCACGACAATTGAAACAATGCTATACAGAATGGCAATGATTACAAGACAGTTTACATAACACATTTTCACATCCATCGTTGAGCTGAAATATTACAGAATAACATTGAAAAATAGAAAGTGGCCTAGGAATAAGTTTAGATCAATTGGTGCATTTCCAATTAGTATATCTATTTTCAACCCTTTCAGATCAGAGCTGAGCTGAGGAGTTGCCCGAATATTTCGCAGCAAACATCCCACGAGCCTTTAACGAGAGAGAAACAATTTGATTTAATTAAAAAATTATGGGATTACATACATTAATGCTTGTCAAGGCAATATATATGCAAATTTCCCATACACACACACACACGTAGACAGAAAGAGAAAGAGAAAAGAGGATGACAGGCAGCAGACTGCGGCGAGTGTCGCATATTAAAGAATATTTTATTTGCTTTTATTACACAGCACGCCCCTTATAGTTCACCCTTACCATTTCCCTTCCCCTCGCACATCCACAGTCCCAACAACACCACCACCGCGCTCCTG